AAATTGTTTTGTACTTCATGGGAGAAAGAGAAACAAAATTGTAATGTTAACTGGGAGAAGACTTAAATGACAATGTCACTTAGATTTGGCTATTTTATTCTGTAGATTATTTTAGAAATGAGCTATGTCCACACACACACACACACATTATTTACCTTCCAACTGTTATCCTTGTCTTTGTTATTATGAAAATGTTTCAGATGTTGTGACTCCTGGCTTTCTTCAGGTGTCTGTTGATCTGGATAAACTTCAGAAAATTTCAAACTGAATCTTTTATTTAATCTATGGAGGTAGACTGTTCTTGTTCTACTGTCTATCAACAAAACTGCAGCCTGTAAATATAGTTGAATTTTGATATTTATATAATTATGTTATATATAATTTATATAATTTTGAACTTTATATCTTTATTCTGTAAGATATTTTTAGATCCAGGCTATACACACACACACACAAGTATATATGCAAAGTATGCATGAACAAGTCTGCAGCCTAATATAAATGAATTTCCTTCTTTATATCTTTTATATTAATAGTCAAACAGTTTGACTCTCTTCTGAGGAGTGGTTGAATCTATGTAACCATGAAATGTTGAAATAAACATGAGTTAAGTGAAAAATCTTTTCATTAATTAATGCTCTATCCCTATTTTCAATCTTGAGCTTTCGACCACAAAGCCAGTTTGCCTTAAATGATGAACAGCCAGCAATTTTGGCGTCAAAAACAGTCTTCCAAATTAACACATTCTTTTATATATAATATTCTATCTATGTAATTTGGCATTCACCACTGAATGAATTTATATTAATATTATATAGTGGAAATTTCAAATCTAAATTCAGCTAATAACTATTTGTCAACCTGAAGATTTATTGAGCCAAAATCATTTATGAAGTGTCTAAAAAGCAAGGTTTTTTTTTTTCTTTCTTTTCTGTATTTATTTTTCAGGTGTCATTTTCATGTTATTATACTTAGCATCAACATGAAACCTGAAAAATAATTGTGACTTTTTATATAGGTTAAAACTGTTTTAAATAGAAACAAAATATCTGAATTAATTTTAAATATTATCATTAAACTGGCAAGAAAAAAAAATTGTTTTGTTGAAGTCTGACAAAGAAAAGAAAAAGTATTTTCACAATGGATGATGAACAATAATAAAACAAATCTCTAATTGATGCTTTCCAAAAGTTCTTAAGCAATTTTTATTAGTATTAAAAAACATCTGACCTAATCTCAAATTAGAATGCTAAAATTGACTATAACTTATTTAACAACATCTACTTTTATATGAGTGGGTAATAGTACCTGTTAGAATCACAGCTATGAACAAATAATGAATTTAAAAACAAAAGACTATGAAAGTATAAAAGTAAATTTTTATAGTAAAAATACCTATAACACATTTTTTATAAATAAATACCAACAATACTTATTTAGAGTAAAATTACCAACAGTACCTATTTATAGAAAAATTACTAACAATACATTTTATCTGCAGTTGAAGCCATAACATTGCATTCAAAATATTTAGATTTTGGCATTAAATAATTCATAGAGGTTGATATGCCACTAACAAAATCAACCAACCATGCAGTCTAAGATTTTAATCTTTCTCGTTGAATTTTCCTAAATTCTAACAGACTTAAGTTACCAGATACAAAGGTGTAGGAAACTATGAATAAAGTAATAAATGTATAATTCTTTCACGTTAATAGACACTCACACATTGTAGATGGATCTAAGGATAATAATATTTTCTTTTTCTTTTGCAGAAATATATGATCCCATTGAAAACACAGAGGAACCTTGATGAGAATACTGTGTGTGTCATATTTCATATGATTCCTGAGATTCTGACACACCACTGCATCTTCCTGAACTTTCTGGACAGTGTCTGGGAAAACTGGGACAGTAAAAACAGTACAGTTGGTAACATCATCATCAGCTGTGTAAGTCTACTCCATTGCCTACTCTTATACTATCCTCTTTTCTACTCTTCTGTATTTACCCTAATTCTCTGACTACCTTGGCTCAAATTACACACAATAATATCTGAATATCTAAATATTCCATTGCTAAAGATATCTCTACTTAGTTTCTTGCTGTTTGTATTGAATATAATTGTAGCAAACTGATTACATGTCGACCACCAATTTTCCGGCAGCCAAAGCTCCACTGGCACCTCTTTTGATCTGGATAAAATTACAAGCACACGGAACATTAGTTGGCTTACCAGAAGACTGTAAAATTCTTTTTCTGGACAACAGTTCATCCTATCTGAGAACTGAACTACTGTATAAGAATAATGTGTAATATACAGTACAGTTACTACCAAACTCTCAGTTCCTTAACTAACACCACAGCCAAGGAATACTGTACACTCTAAAAACTAAGAAACATCTGTTTTTAATAAAGGCCATGTTAGATGTGGCAAATTCTAGAAAGTCTTTTGAAATATTTATGAAAGAATTTAATGAGAAATATTTTTGTTTCTAACACTTTAAAGACATAAAACTTACATAATTAGTAGGTTACACGTATATTATTTTTTTATTATTATATGACCTTTGTTGATCTGGCAAAATGGATCATTTAGTATAGGAACCCAGGTATGACAGGAAACCAGTGGGTGTTATTTGTCTATAAATACAGTTGACAAGCATGGTGCAGAGTCTTTCGATTCCATTTCCATTTTCCATTCTTATAAGTTTGATAATTAATATATATCTATGACATTCAATTCATAGTTTGTAAAAAATGAAAGTGAGTAAATAAATGACAAAACAAGGCTTATTTACTCATTGTTTTTCTTATAGTCTGCAGGCTTGGGTACTAGCTCAACACTACTTAACAGTTGGCTTTCTGATTTGAAGGCAATGTCTGGATTATTGATTTTGCCTTATATATATATATATATATATATATATATATATATATATATAAGTAATGAATTTTTTATTTATCAATCTGAACAATATTATCACTTTAAATGTTTTTTGGTAGATACTTGTATTTCAAAATGAAAGTACAAATACATATCAAGTATGAAAAAGAAAATTAATATATAAATACCTGATAGAGAAAGGTGTGAATTTTGATTTCTGCTCGTCACAACTACAAACTTTTGTATAATAACAAAATACAGATGCATAAACGTTTGTTGTTTAATTGTCTGTTATAATTAAGAAAATAATTAGTAGAAATATAAAATAACATGAAGCAATTACATTGCAGTAGGCTCAAAGAGAATTCAGTTTTTGATTTGTCTTCATATTTCAATGACTAAATATACACTTTTGAAACAGTTAAAGTAATTTGAGTGATAATGACTCAAGTGTCTTCAACTGTGGGTTCAGTATAGAGAGCATCATGTATGTTTCATGGTTCTTGTCATTATTTTGGGTCAACTGAGAACTTTTCAGCCCACCCTCATATGTATATATATATATATATATATATATATATATATATATATATATTTTAGGAATACGTTTTGAAAGCGTCGCCCATGTGACAACGTGACCATGCTAAACGGAAAGCTGACCATTTTAAAAATTTTCAGTTATCTGTTTTGGATAAGACTTGTATTTTATGTCCATCGTCTTTGTCAAATTGAACTGAATTGTATTTTAATGAATATTGTCCTGAAGAAGGTTTATTAAACCGAAACGTCAGACATCGACATTTCATTCATTTTAAACAACATAATTGCATTTACGGATTTTTGTTTGTTTTTTCCAAATTTTTTTTTCATATATATATATATATATATATATATATATATGGTGTAACAGGTAAATTGTCACCCTTTTATGTTTTTTTTTTTTAATTTTGCACGTGCGTTGCTTGTTTTTGACTTTTTCAACTGCACAGTATGGTAGGGTCAGTTGGGCACTGTCTGTGAGAAAAAGAGCACCATGATGCAATTCACTCCCACAGAAATTTGGAAATGGCATGCTGTACAATTTGGCATTTGCACTGGAAGCTTTAATACAAACCTTTCAGAGTGTTTGGGTATAAATGTGAGGTCAGAGCAGAAGATTCAAAAAGAGTTGGATGAGTCTAATGGTGATTATCAAGGTGTTTGGAGTGATCACTAGTGATGGTGATGCCTCCATTCATCTTCCCAAAGGGCCTCAGACACAGAGGCCTACATCAAGTGCCTTGATGATATAGTGCTGCTCTGTGTCGATATGGTGTCTGCTGGATGACCCTATATCTAGCAATGAAAGACTCTGCATCATGCCACACAAGCAGGAGAACCCAGTCATGGCTGTCATAAAATTTCTGCAACCACATTGCCTTTACATCTGGCCACCTACTTCCCCAGACACCAACCTCCTTGATTATTACGTGTAGGGTGCAGTTGAGTGAGAGACCAACAAAACTCCTTATAACACCAAAGATAAACTGAAGGCAAGGATTATGGCAGCATTCCTCCAACTTAAACAAGGAGACCATCCAGAAGAGTTTGCAGGAGATTCCAAAGTTTGTGGAGGCTGTTGTTGCTAATGGCGATTTTATTGAATAAATTTACTCTTTGGTATTTCAAGATATTTTCATGTAATTTTGGTAAATATATCTATTAAAATGAGATATGTGTTATTTTCTTTTTTGTGTAATTTAGACAACAATTTATCCATGCTGGAAGATGCTTATTTTTCTGACAAGATTTCTCGAATATTCAGTTCAGTAGATGTAGTTAAAAAATACCGTTTAATTAAAAACAGAGCTTCTATTCAAATATGAGTATCCATCAAAAATAATGTTTAAACAAGATAAATTAAAAATAACAATATGTTGGGTTTAATCCATTTCTTAAAAATAAATTGTCTTTGTTTGTTAGGATAAGATACAGAGTCTATATGGCCTGTTTCAAGAATTGGCAGAGAGTGTGTGTGTTCAAAAGGCACTGTTTGAGCTTTGACCAGAAGTCCTACGTGGCTGAGCAGTTAGGCTATCGATATATGTGTACACACACACACACATAAGAGGCTTATGACCATATCATGTTGAAACACCAGTTCTTGTATGATCACCAAAATTAAGCAATGTTGTGCCTGGTCAGTACTGAAATGGGTGACCGCTTGGGAATACCAAGTGTTGTAAGTTTGGATGTGCAGGTGGTATAATGGATAAAGGCTCAGGATTTGAAATTAGAGAGCTGAGTTCTAATTTCAGTCAGGTTTATTATATTCACTTATGGGCAAATATACTTGGGAAAGGTATGAATCCACTGGCCAGTTATGTGTCAGTTAGTAGAACTTGTAACAATTAAAATCTTTATTATCTCAAAAAGATTTCTGAAGAGTAAGCGTTCTCAAAGCAAATTTGTGGCTTTCACAACACAAAGAAAGAAAATCACTTGTAACGCGTCAGGAAAATAACTCACGAACGCCGTAGCCAAAACTGCCTGAATTTTCTTTTTTTGTGTTGTGAAAGCCACAAATTTGCTTTGAGAACGCTTACTCTTCAAGCTATTTCGGCCTTGTTCTGCTGTGATCTGACCAGCTGTATGTCTACGGATAAGTGGTATTCACCTCCTTCGAATGAGCATCTCGCTCGCAGCCTTTGTACGTATCCTAGCCTTCCCCGTAAGAGTGTCTGATATCCACTCATACACGCATGTGGAATCCGTGAATAAATGCAATACCTTTGCATTCCATTGAAGGGCCACAGTGACTCCCCTGATAACGGCGTCTAATTCTGACAGGTTGATATGTTGCGTATCCTTCTCGGGACGCAACCAACACGCATCTTCCATGACAGTGTCACCTACTTCAAGAGACACTCCTGTTGCAAGGGGAGCTCGCGTCGACCCAGACGTTAAATTCACATCCGTCAACGCACCATTTACCACGTGCGAGGACGTCTTGATGCAACCTAGTAATGACTTCCGCTATCATGTGTCTAAGGGGGCATCATTTGTTGTGTCATCCCAGCCGGAAGTGACAGCAGTCACCCCACGTTTAATAAATGCAGTTGCAATCGCGGATCCACCCCGCCCACGGAAAATGTCCCACCAGCTTTCCACATAACGAAAACACGCTGCGTCCGGGTCATGTGTTTGGGAATGTCCGGGAGCTCGCTTCCCGTTTCCAGTAAAGCATGTTGTGCTCCCCCCAGACCTGCAAGCCAAGCACCCGAGCACCATCCTCCAGTCGTTCTGGGTTTTACATTCGAGCCCAAAGTCAGCAAGATGCTTTCTCACCTGTGAAGCGGGTACTAAGGGCCTCGGTGACTCCCCTGATAACGGCGTCTAATTCTGACAGGTTGATATGTTGCGTATCCTTCTCGGGATGCAACCAACACGCATCTTCCATGACAGTGTCACCTACTTCAAGAGACACTCCTGTTGCAAGGGAGCTCGCGTCGACAATTTTTTTACAATTTAAAAAATATTTTCTGGCTTTAAGAAACCTGGAAAAAAAACAAATCAATCACAGAGGTACATCAATTTGTCTATAGCTAAGAAAAGAGCATCTGAGCCACAGGTACTGACTTCTTAGGATCCCTGCTAATCACACTCAATCAGATATTCATGTCCACTTTAAGGATCTTGTTCATTCTTTGTGGTCATTGGAGAACTTTTCAGCAAATCCTTGTGTGTGTGGAAACCCCCCACCACCACCACCAACAACAATATGTTGATAGGCTAATGATACAATAAAGATTTATTTTTCAACATAATCTCCTTCCTTATGAATACACTGAATTCAGTAGCCCTATCTCTAGTATTATATAGTAAAAATTTCACTGGCTTTGAAATATTGAGTAACTGTTTGTAATCAAGTGCTTTCAATCTTATTAGACAGATAGTAAGTTAACCTACAGGATAGAGTGGTAACTGTGTCCAACAAACAAATTTGATGCTTATGCAACACAGTATCTCAGAGGGCAAGAAAATTCATAAATGTGCTGTTTTTAAACCTGTATATAATATTTTTATTAGCTGCTGCATAGGTATAATTAAAATGGATTTGATTAGAATAAAAACAACTTATTACAAATTTCATTGTGGAATTTCTTTACAGTTAATAACAACAAATTTGGGAAATATATTATTGATTAGTGATTGTTCTGTTGTTTGTAAAATAGTATATTAGAAGAAGAGACAAGTTGAAGTCAGTTGATTAAATTTTTAGTAACAAGTATTTACTATTATAATTAATGAGGTAGGAATTTAAAGTTGTGAATGTTTGTCTTAGGAATTGGTAAAAGCATTGCTATGATTATCAAGTCAAACATCTATGCAAAAGATTCTATTTTCAGATTTTCATTCCTAATGGAAATGCATATATGCAGGAAAAATACAAATGGTCAATGCTGAGTTTAAAAGTATTTTGAAAATGTGATGGTCAGATAGAATCTACAAAATTCCTGAGATATTGGTGGGGAGTAGAAATATGGTTAGAACAAAGTATATGTCTGGCTGCTTGTTTCTAAGTTTTCCCATCCTGCTAGAGTGACTAACTAATCCTTGTTGCAGACGTCTGCTCAGGCATATTTGTTTTTTCAACATCCAAAAGCTAATCTGTAGTTTATACTGCAACTTGCTGAGTATGCCTTAATTACAGTTTCAAGAAGAGAGTACATTTTCCTTTGAACAAGGCCAGTACATTGTCACAATGACTTTTGACTTAATGCTAATGCAACTATCGATGATTCGGAACAGTTTCCTTACACCAATTTCACTCCAGAGTCTCGAGTTGACCTGTGTTATTGTTTTCAAACACTTCTCCATCTCCACAGTGCTAAATTCCGGGGTTGAAAGTGCTCCTCACATGTAAATTCACATTTGAAGTGTATAGTTACATTTACTGGAATCATACTTACAACATTTTATGTATAAACAAAAATTTACTGAAAAATGTAGAACAAATTGTGTTGTCTTTAATTCGATTTATACAGTTATAAAACAGGGAAATTAACAAAATTACTTAAAAACTCAAAAATGTACAAAGATTAATGGAAAGAGCAAAGCTATCATTAATACTAAAAGATAGAAAGAGATTAACATGGCTGAGTGGATCAAGCTAAGAGATATGATAGAAATAATGAATCAACAAAAATGGAGGCGAGCAGAATGCATAACAGGAGGAAAGGATAAAAGATGGAGCAAAAAGTTGGTTGAATGTTTCCCAGTGGATCGCAAAGTTTTCCTATCATTGAAATTTGGTAGTGTTTATTTTATGATTGTTTTATAAAAATGCTATTGATGGTGTCTCATGTTTCAAATAAAGAAATGAAAATTTGCTGTCTTATACAGATAATGTCCCATTTTTGTCAGTAAAACTTGTATTATAACCTGACTGATGACAATCCCTCTTTTTTTCTAATTTTCAATTAGCAGCATACAAATTGTTGAAAGTTGCTGAAACAAATTTCAGTTAAAAAAAAAGAAAAAAGAAAATAGTAAAAGTCAGGGCTTTATCAACAAATTTTTCTCCTCTCACTACAAATGTCATTTGTTATTTCAGAAAATGACTGAAGCTCTTCAGATGTAAATAAAAAAAAAATAAAAAAAATGAATTATGGATCAGATTTTCTCAAATACAGATGTATTATTGTTTCATTTTTTTTCCTGTCATCATAAAAATTTGTTGTGACATTTTATATTTGTCTATGTAATCATTAAAGTGAATCAAAGCTTTGATGTAGTTGTTTAAAAAATCCTACCCATGATCTTCATCATGGCTTGGCTTTGCAAAATAAAGATCAAGAGGGAGTCTGTACACGTCACTTGCAGGCATGTTTGTAACTGATAAGTCCAAAGCAGGACAGACATACACGAATGCAGCAGTTGCAGCTGAAAGTCCAGCTTGGGCTCAATGGCATAGCGTTGCAGTAATTCCTCCTCTGCCTTTTGTCCCTGAGAGCGGTCCTGCAGGTCTTTTTAAAGAAGAAGACAGCTTGGTTGGTAGTGAGATGCCAGGCATCATGGTTCTCAAATCCTATCTATGATATTTTATGGATTATCTAAATAGCCAGTACTATAAGATTTATCCAAAGTTTAAAACTCAGTGTTTTACTGACTCTTTTAGTTTTCCATAGTTAATGTTGACACTTATTGGTTTGACTGACATTAGAATCAGACCAAAATCAATTGACTTCACATATGCAGTGATTTGGGGAGACTAAATGTGCATAAATGCTGAGCAAAGTGTTTTTGTTAGAAACAAAAATGAATATCAATTTTATATATTAATAATATTAATTTTCATTTTTTTTTTTTTTTCTCCAACCATTCTTTTTGACAATTACTTTAAAATGGAAAGATATTATGCTGTAATAAAAATTCAAATTAAAATCTGCTTTGTAAAAATTAATTTCAAATAAGGCTCAATATAAAGTAGAAATTTCTTGTTTGGTTGGAATTATTAAAGAGAAAATTTATGTTTTAAGAATAATTTCTGGATGCTAGAAAGAAATGTTACTTGTCATTTTTTATCAGAAATCACTGAAAATGTAAGGAAATTGAAATGACGTTTGGGATAGTGTCTAATTTAGAATTTGGCTGGCATTTAATTTAACATAATAGAAAAAAATGGTTCTTTTGAGAAAAGAGGGTTCTTTTCATAATATAAAAATCAGTCCTACTACTTTTCATTTAACTTTTATTTTCTTTGGCATAATGAACCAACGAACATTATAAAACCTAAGTTTGCCATCAGAAACGATTAATAAAATGTTTTTTGTCTTACAAATCTACCTGAAGATCTACTAAAGTGTTAAGTCTTGTTCATGCAGAAACATACTTTGATGTTTGACTAATTTTCTGTCTAAAATAATATCAGACGCGTTTCCTATGAATGTTATGAATTTAACAAGTCCTTGACTTTGTTAATTAGAAGGGGTGAATGATAATGAAGATTAATACTTTGCACCATGAAAACTTTCAGCTTGTTAATCTTTTATCTCTAATTGCTTAAATTTCTTTAATAAATAATGTAAATATTGTGTAAGTTTTGTGAAATAACAATTGTTGATTTCTCATCTATTATTTTCTATGCAAATATATAGTTTTGTTTTATTTGAATATTTATTTGTATATTTTATATTTATTCACATAAATTGTAAAAGAATTTCTTTGTATTTATTGTAAATAG